TCTGGGCTACATAGTGAGGCTCTGACTCAAAACACAACAATAAAAACCCACAAAGAAGCCAGGTGTGGTGGCGCACGTCTTTAATCCCGGCACTTGGGAGGCAGAAGCAGGAGGATGTTTGTGAGTTCAAGGCCAGCCTTACATAGTGAGTTCAGGTCAGCTGGGACTACAGGGAGATCCTGTCTCAAAAAGACAAAAAAAAAACAAAACAAAAACAAAAAACAAACCATAAAGAGCCACAAAAAAACAAACAAGTATGAGCCTCTTAAGGGGGAGCTACAAGTAAGAGTCTTAGAAGTAGACATAGATTACTATTTAAGGGCTCTCAAGTTACATCACAGAGGCTTGCTAGGAAACTTTTTTCTTTCTGATGACTAGGATTATGGTATGGCTCCAGATGTGCCTTGATGGGAATATAATCTTGTGAGAGAGACAACCAGGAGGCACTAGGTTTGCACACAGAGGTGGGGAACATTATGGAAAGCTTCCTAAAAATGAAACAACAAAATTCTCTGTGGTGGTTTTAATGAGAAATGTCCCCATAGACTTTTGAACACTCGGTCCCATTTGTGGTACTATTCCGGGATGTTAGGGGGGGAGAGAGGGAGAGAGAGCTGAACAGAACGGGAGAGGGGGGAGAGATATGGCAGGAGCGAGTGGATGGCATGGATGGAGGAGGCACCGAGGCACAGATGGAATTCTCAGCGGGATACAGATTTATTTCGCACGGGGCACCTTTCCCTCGGGGAAGGGAAAGATGTCAGGGAAGGGAAGGATATCAGGGAAGGGAAGGATGTCAGGGAAGGGAAGGATGTCAGGGAAGGATGTCAGGGAAGGGCAGGGAAAGATGTCAGGGAAAGATATCAACCCATGGGTTGTGAGCTGGGACTTTATATATGGGGGCTTTAGGGTGTGGAAGGGGGGAATGTTTGGGGGAGAAATCAGGGAGGGGGAAGCAGGTAGGATTAGGGTGTGGAAGTGTTTTCTTTTTCCTCTTAAATAAGAGGAACTCTGCTTATCTTATCTTTGGAGGTCAGAGGAAAGGCAGGCTGCTTCTCAGCAGAGTTTGTAGGTCCCTTTTGGGGAGTCGGGGGAGCTGCTATTTGGAACCCTAACAGGGGAGACTATGGAACCTTTAGAGGGTAGAGCCTGGCTGGAGGAAGTACATCTCTGAGGGAAGGCTTTAAGAGTTTATAGCCAGGGCTGGAGAGATGGCTCAGTAGTTAAGAGCACTGACTGCTCTTGCAAAGGACCTGGGTCCAATTCCCAGCACCCACATGGCTGCTAACAACCACCTGTAACTTCAGTCCCAGGGTGATCTGATGCCCTCTTCTGACCTCTGATCTTTGTAGGCATTGCATGACATGGGTGCAGGCAATACACTCATACACATAGAATAAAAATAATAAACTTGTCGGGCATGGTGGTGCCCTTAATCCCAGCACTCGGGAGGCAGAGGCAGGAGGATCTCTGTGAGTTCAAGGCCAGCCTGGTCTCCATGGTGAATCCAGGACAGCTGGGGCTACAGGAAGATCCTGGCTCAAAAAGAAACCCCCCCCCCCCAAAAAAAAGAGTGTATAAAGCTGGTGGTGGCATACACCTTTAATCCCAGTACTTTGGAGGCAGAGACAAGAGGATCTCTGTGAGATTCAAGGTCAGCCTGGTCTACATAGAGAGTTCCAGGCTAAATGGGGCTACGGAGAGACCCTGTTTCAAAAAAAAAAAAGTTTGTAGTCTTGCCTCACTTCCTGTTCTCTGCTTTGTGTTTGTGTTGAGGATCTTTCAGCTCCCTGACTCAGGTGCCTCCTGCCATGCCTCTCCCACCATTAGGGACTCTCCCTCTGGAAGTGGCCATATAATACAAAATAAACTCTTTCTTCCATATCTTGCTTTTGGTAATGGTGTTTTTATCACAGCAACAGAAAAGTCAACTAATACATCTCCCCAAACAAAACAATCCCCTATCCAACTATTTATTTAGCATTTACATCATAGGAGGCATTAAAAGTGGTCTAGAGATGATTCAGAGTAGTAGATGGAAGGATGTGCTTACATTATATACAAACACTGCCTATGTACTGAAGGGTAGAAGCAACTGCATTGGGCGGGTGTGTGTCCTAGAATCAATCTTCCATGGATATTGACAGACAACTGTAATTACCTAGGTAGCTTCTAACCCTACACACAGCAGGCCCACTGCAGAAACCAGAGTTAGCCTCCAGACAGCTGCATTTTACAAAGGGCCCAGGAGTTCTAATGCATTCCCCAGTTGAGGAAAGGGCTGTCTCTATGAACTTAACACTGTATTCAGTCCCCATCAAGGAGACATTTAACATAACTTCTACTGACATCTGTTGGCTCCTTGGGGATTACTGACAATGTAATAAATCAAGAAAGCAACCTTCCTGGCTGTGACCACCAACTGGGAAAAATGGAGGCTTGACATCTCAATATCATTATGGAGACATTCAGAAAACTCGGCTCTTCATGAATGAACCAAAAACAGAAGTATAACACATCACATAAACAGCGAGTGACAAGAGCCAGGTGCAGGAGGAGCCCACTGCCTTTCTCAGCTCTCACAGGTGGGTGGCTGTATTGTTGGGAGATGGGCCCATCAACCCCTAGCTCCCAGCAGGATAGGCCATACAACCTTACCAGCCACAGGACAGCAGAGGGTCTCCCTGCTGATCAAGCAGTAAGCTCTCGCACTCGTTGAAACTGTAACAGATACCTTTCCTTTTCCTAGTACACCTCAACCAAGGGCCACACTGATTTTTCTTGCCACTTCTCTGTGTTCTTAAATTCGAAATGTTCAATACATAAGACTTCTACTGACTTGCAAGAATGGTCTAGAAGCTCAGGAAGAAATGTGGCTCTAGGACTAGAATGTAGCTAAGTTCTGGCTTAGCATGGTAAGGTCCTGGGCTCACTCCCCAGCACTGTAAACAAATGAAAAAAAGAAAAGAGACATGAGGCCCAAGATGAAAGCTGGGCCTTGTGGGCAGTCAGAAGCAACCAGGCAATCAGTTGTGGGGTTTTTCTTTCCCTTTCTTTTTCTTGCGGTGCTTTACCACTGAGCTACAACCTCTGCCCAATAGTCAATGTTTTTGTCACCTTCTTGAACCTGTTTCCTTACTCTACAGCAGTCACAAATTTTATGGACTTTCAGAAAATCTTCTGTCTGAAAATTCACATTTTTTATTTGGTCTTTTTGAGACAGGGTTTCCCTGTAGCCCCAGCTGGCCTGGAACTCTGGCCTTGAATTCAGAGATCTACCTGCCTTCGCCTCCCAAGTGCTGGGATTAAAGGCATGCACCACCACACCCAGTCTAAATTCACATTTTTTTAAGTACTGGAGATTGAACCCAGGGTGTTAGACATGCTAGGCAAGCACTCTACCACTGAGCTACATCTCCAGCCCTGAAATCTCAATTTCTGAGTGCTGAAAGTTCAAATTAACCAACCAACCAACCAAATAAACAAATGAGATGTTACTATGTAGCCCAGGCTGGCCTGGAACCTTTGATCCTCCTGCCTCAGGTTCTAGAATGCTGGGAAAAAGGAATGCCCCACACGGGGTGCTGACACTTCCATTGCCTCTTGAAGCCTATTGAACAGACAGCCCCACCTTCCTCACCAGGCTCTCTCTCATTGTCCTACAAACTTTATACCTGAACAAAAGCTTTCACTGATGGTGGTCATCCTTGGGTAGTCATGATTAATTAAGCCTTTCATGTGAGCCAAGAGATCAGGGTAACTCCTTGGTAAGGTGCCTATTCCCTGTAGGTGGGGCGATTTCCTACTGCAGAGCTTGGCTGCAAGAGCCAGTGAGCATGGGCAAGAGCATGGGCAGGCCAAGGTCAGGCTGCACTCTGGGTTGTGCCAGGTTCTAAGCCTGGCATGCAAAGTCAATACTGTTTTCTAGGCCTGGATGAAGCCAGGTCTTTCTCAGTATAGCAGTGATAGGCTACTCTGGTGCTGCACTGAAGCTACCTTGGTTGTTTCAGGGATTCTGGAAAGTACTGTGGATTTGAAATGAATGAGCAAGCAGGAGATAGATCAGATAATACAGGTTTGCCATGTATTCCTTCCCACAGCTTCTGCGGAGAAAGCCTATCTAAGAGAACTTCCTGGTGTCCCTACTCAAAAGACAATCCCTTCCCTAGAATCCCAGGGCAGAGTGAAGTGAACAAGATAGTCTCCTCATGTGAGCAGGGACAGATGCTTTCTCTAAGTCAGCTCCAGGTCTGCCTCCACACAGCCTGGCTGCTCCCCTGGCAAGAGATGCAATGGGACCTCTGTCTTCTGGAGAGAACAGAGACATGGGGAAAACCTGGAGATAACCTGGTCATGTGATGAAAGGTAACAGAAGCAAAGTAAGTCCCAGGAAGCAATAATCAGCATGGAGAAGTGGCCATCCTTATCTTCATAAACAAGGGCAAGGATCCCATCCTGCCATCTGCCACTTGGTTCACTCAGGCCGTCAGGCCAATCCCAGAGACAAGAAAGGAAAAGGCAGCTTCTGGCTGCAGAGGCTGTGACTTCCAAGAGCTGTAGAGGGAAAAAAAGGAGAGCTCTAGGGGAGGGTTGTGTGGAGAAGTGACACGAGTCAGTGGAACTGACACAGGAAACCTAGAAACAGTGAGCCACAGGGACCTTTTACCCACTGCTGCCTCAGCGTCAGGAATGGAACATAAATGAAACTGTCTTTTTTTTTGTATATTTTATTTATTATTTTTATTTTATGTGTACCAGTGTATTGCCTGCATGTATGTGAGTGCACCCATGTCATGCAATGCCGCGGAGGTCAGAAGAGGGCTTCGGATTCCCCTGGAACTGGAGTTAAGGACAGTTTGTCACCACCATGTGGGTGCTGGGAATCGAACCCGGGTCCTCTGTAAGAGCAGTCAGTGCTCTTAACCGCCGAGCCATCCCTCCAGCCCAGAAACTGCCTTTTTATAACGTAGTCCTTACTTGGGACAGAAATTAAGACAGAGCATGGGAGAAATACTTTAATAATTCAAATGCCCCAGGAGGTCTCAAAGAATCAGCTGCTTGGGGTCCCTGGCAATGTCTCTGTGTTCCTTACAGTCTCTTTTTAATTAGTTTCTCGAGTTTGCGGATTCGGGATGATTCCTGCTCTGGAGTTGGAGCCATCAGAGACAGTGAGCTGGAGCCCTCTGCCCCTGAGGGTGGGGCAGGGAGCCTCTGACGCAAGAGTTCTAGCATGCTGCTCTGCTCGCTCCTCTTCAGCCCCTGCACGGAAAGAGAAAGGACAGTGGTCAGGGGGTGGGTCCACAATGGCAGGGAGAAAAAAATACTACTTGGGTCCACTGTTAGCCCAGCTTGATCTTTGTAGTCAGCAATAATGATTCCAACTTAAGGAACTGGTTTCTTCAGGGGAATTAGTAGCCCTGGGTCTGGGAGATTAACCATAAAACCAAGAAAGGAAAAACCAGCAACAGGGTAGGACAGAAAGACAAGGTGGAGAGAAAAGAAAGGGCCAAAAAGACTGAGGGAAGATAATCCCTCTGATCTGCTTTCCATTCCCTTCACTGTGTCCTCTCCTGGGCAGGGGCTCTCATTTAGGCAGGGTGGTCCTGAGGACACTGCAGCCTGTATGTCCAGGATCAGCCTCTAGGAAAGGCTCCCAACAATCTGGGATGAAGGGCGGGGTCAGAAAACTGCATTCTGAGGTACCTTCAGGAGCTACAATCCACTCCAGGGTCAAAACAAGACAGAGCTCACCTTCATGTCCAGTATTTTCTGGAAGGTTTCTGTGTTGCAGTCTGTAAGGAGTTTGATATAGTTGTCAACAAATACCACCAGTGGTTCATGAGGAGCCATCACCACCTACCAAAGGGACAAGAGTAGGTCTTAAGCGAGTCCTTGGGGCTAGAGGGCAGCATCAGCTCTCACTTGCCAGCTGACCACAAAGGGAATCTGCAAGGCCCCCCTCACATAGCAGCAGCTCCACACTCAAAAACGCCCTGATGGCTGAGCAGTTATTTCAAGAGTGGCTTTTGCCCACATTGCTTTTGCATGTATGGATTCTGGGGTCACCCCGCACCTGAGAAGCCTGAATCCTCCAGCAGGCCTGGGTGGGACCATCTGGGAAGCACTGTGAGTGTTCTCCTGCTGGGGGCATTTCATGAGAAGCAGGGTACTGGCTCCTTATTAAGAGATGGGAGTAAAAGGAACAGATGCCCCTGGATGTTTTCATAAACAAAAGTCCCAAAGTGACCTCACTCTTTTGAAGACCTGAAATCTGGAATGTTAATTTACCACATTCATTTAAACTACCAATTAATATATAAACAGATGGCACTATAATCCTCAGACTCATTTCCATTTGGTTTTGGAATGTGGTATTTGATTTTCTTCCCCAGTGGGCTGATTTTGTTTTGAATTTCTGAAAATGTACCAGAAGTGGTAAAGAGCAGATCCATCAAAAATCCTTTGCAGATATTTCCCCAAATGCACCTCTTCTCCTGTGAGCAAGGCAGCTGGGGAGGACAGCCACTAGGCTGCTTCTGGTTTCCTCAGGCCTGGGCTTAAGGTTCCTATAGCCAGGCCAGGCTGCTGCAGCTTTTTGCTCCTACCATCATTTGAGTCATTCTGGGAATGGGCCTAAAGTGCCTTCAGGTGCTGAACTCTCAGCTCTTACCAGGCTGTAACCTTTCACTCTCCAGCCTCCCAGCCTCTTCCAACAAGTGCAGGTAGGAATCAAAGGCAGATGCTGCAAGCTGCAGACACTCTCCCATCAGCATCCAAAGTACAATCTCTTGTTAAATGAGGCTTTAAAAAGCCCATTTGCCAATTAGATTCAGTTACTACAACATCTGTTCAGAGTTCACTTAAAGGTGCAGAGAGCAGAAAGGATTCTGAGGAAGGGAGTGACAGCTGGGCCTGAAATCCCTGCTGAGAGGCGAAGGATTTCATCCCCCACTTCCAAGCTTTCTCCAATATCCTCAACACGGCCACCAAACTCTCAGCTGGCTAAAAAGCATTTTTGCAAGAGAATCCAACAGAATTCACTTGTTAGAAAGATTCCTGATCCCCAAGTAACTACACTGATTTTCAACACCAAGAATGTGGACAACCCTCAGGGGCCAGTAGAGATAGTGCAGACCCTGTGTTTTCAAAACCCAAACTCCCTGGAACAACGGCTCAAAACTAGGACCAGCTTCGTTGAACAGAGTCCCCAAGGAAGACACAGCCATTACCTTGAGGATCATCTCGGCCCGGGTCATGCCCTTCACGACAATCTTAGTGTAACTGGCAGGCGCCTTCCTCACCACCTGTGAGCCGATGGAAGGGAGGTCGAGCAGGACCATCTTTAGGGAGTGGGTGTCCAGCAGCAGCTGCAGGCCAAGCAGAGCATTACAGCCACCTCCCAGGGAAACAGCACTAGTGTGTCCATGCTGAGTAGTCACATTCTGACTGAACACACAATGCTTTCTCATTGCAGATAACTTGGAAAATAAAACTTTAAAGGGAAAAAACCATAATCCCCACTGTCCAGGAAAAACAACTTCAAGAAACCAATGTGGCATACTTCTTGATGGTCAGTGTGTATGGATAAAACTAAATCAGAACCATACTGTGTGCATGGATAGTTTCTACCCTGGGTTTTCTAGTATATGTATGAAGTTTTTGCATTTTATGTTCCCATGGCAGTCTTAAAAATAGTATGATTTTTCATGCCAGGTGAAAACTTTAATCCCAGCCCTTGGGAGGCAGAGGCAGGTGGATGTCTGTGAGATCTGAGGTCAGCCTGGTCTACACAGTGAGTTACAGGCCAGCTGGGGCTACAGGGAGACCCTGACTTAAAAACAACAACAACAACAAATATAGTATTTTTTTTTTTTTTTTTTTTAGGGCTGGGTATAGTAGTACATGCCTGTAACCTCAGCACTCTGAAGGTAGAGGCAGGCAGAGCTTTGTGAGTTTGAGGCCAGCCTGGTTTACATAACTAGTTCCAGGTCAGCCAGGGCTACATAATGAGACCCTATCTCAAAAAAAAAAAAAAAAAATTTTTTTTAATGGTTATACAACACAATGAGTTTAGGGTATCATAGCACTCTCCTATTTAGCTTGCTCCCAGAGTTTGTATTGATAACAGATGTGGAGTGGACAGCCTTGTCTACATAGTCTGGCTTCATCAGGACCTTTTGAAGGTTCCTGATACATGTCTGGCCCTCTTTCCACACAGAATGTGCCCGCTTACCTGACTTCCAAGAGTGTAGACTATACCCTCATCAGCACCAAAAACTGTCAGAAAAATCTTATTTATAAGGCAAAAAAGGTAACTCAATCGCTGGATGCTATCAAATTCTAACCAAATTTAAGCATATCTTGGCAACAATCCACTTTCCCCTGCTCTTTCCAGTTCTCTTGAATGCTAATTATCTGGAAGGATATCAACTTTCCTAAGGGAGCACTAGCTAGGAATGATCCAAGAATATTTCTTCGCATTGTCTTCATGAGGTCCTGCCCTCATGAAGAGATTTATTGTTCCCATTTTACAGATGAGAACATCAGTGCTCCAGAGGTTTAAAAACTTGGAACATGGGGGCTGGAGAGATGGCTCAGTAGTTAAGAGCACTCTTTCAGAGGACCCAGGTTTGGTTCCTAGCACCCACATGGTGGCTAACAATTGTCTGTAACTTCAGTTTCAGGAGATCTGATGCCCCCTTCTGGCCTCCACGGGCTTTTCACGACACAGGTGCACTTACATATATGTAGGCAAAACATGCATGCACATAAAAACTTGCAACACGTATCTCAGGATGGCCAGGTTAGAATCTCCTGGGCAGTTTTAGTTTATAGTTCCCACAGTTTTTTGCTGACTCCTGATGTTGGGGGTGGAGAACAGAAATGGCTGAGGCAAGGGACTCAGGGGGTATGGCTCAGTGATCAACCACTTGTTTAACCTGTATGAAGCTCTGTGACACACCACAAAAAGGAATGCATAAATAAAATGGCTGAAGTCAGAAGGCTATATCTTGGCCTGTTTAGACAGTTTAGGAGAACGGAATCACACAGCCCTAACCAGATGAATCAATGGTGGGGTGGCAGATCCCATGGCCACTCTGAGGCCAGTGGTCAAGATGTTCAGGACAAGGCTTACTGACCTGCCACTGCCTAATCCTGTTGGACAGCGTTTCATAATTACAGCCAGTTGGCAAGGAGTGGGATCCCCTAAGGCCCCTGATACTCTGCATTCCCTACTTCCCTTATACCTGACTTTGGACAGGAGAATTAATGACTAAACTAGTTAATGAGAGATTCCATTAGCTTAATGGTTATGGTGATTATAATTTCGACAAAGCTATAAGGTTTTGAGAAGACACTGATGCTTAGTTCAGAATAAATCAGAAATACTACTCTCCAAAAGTGGTAAGGAATGTTACCCTAAGGACAGTAATTTCATGCAGGAATGTGGCTAGTCAGAAGTCTAAACTTTCTTTGAGTGTGTATGATGTGTATATGTGTGCACATGTGTACATGCGTGTGGGTGTGGGTGCGTGCATGCCACGGCGCATGTGTGGAGGTCAGAGAACAACCTCAAGTGTGGTTCTCATCTTTCACCTTGTTGGGGCAGTGTCTCTTTTTTTTTAAAAAAAATTTTTATTATTTTTATTTTGTGTGTATGAGTGTATTGCCTGCATGTATGTGAGTACACCCCGTGTTGCACAATACCTCGGAGGACAGAAGAAGGCTTTGGATTCCCCTGGAACTGGAGTTAAGGACAGTTCGTAGCCGCCATGTGGGTGCTGGGAATTGAACCTGGGTCCTCTGCAAGAGCAGTCAGTGCCCTTAACTGCTGAGCCATCTCTCCAGTCAACCACTCCTTTTTTAAAAATTTTGTGTGTATGAGTGTATTGCCTGCATGTATGTGAGTGCACCCATGTTGTGCAATGCCTCGGAGGTCAGAAGAGGGCATCGGATCCCCTGGAACTGGAGTTAAGGATGGCTCATAACTGCCAGGTGAGTGCTGGAAATTGAACCCGGGTCCTCCACAAGAGCAGTCAGTGCTCTTAACTGCTGAGCCATCTCTCCAGCCCCAGGAAGTATCTCTTTGTTGTTCTGGCACTGCATTGTGCACCCAAGGCTAGCTGGCCTGTGAACTACCAGAGATTTTCCTGTCTCCACCTCTTACCTTAGGAATGCTAAGATTACAGGAGTTCTGGCTACTTGAATAGCAAGTGTTTGTATCGTGCAATGCCTGTAGGGGTCAGAAGAAGGCGTCAGATCCCCTGGAACTGGAGTTACGGACAGTTATTAGCCACCATATGGATGCTAGGAATCAAACCCATGTCCTCTGCAAGTGCAGCCAGTGCTTTTAACCACTGAGCCATTTCTCCAGGTCCCCAGTAATATTTTCTTAATCGAAGATCCACATAACAGTCAGGCATAGTGGTGTACACTTGTAATCCCAGCACTTGGCAGGCAGAGGCAGGAGGACTATAAGTAATAGGCTAGCCTGGTCTATCTAGCAACTTAGAGGATAGCACCAGGGATACAAAACAAACAAAGTATAATCTATGATGCAGCACTTTTTACTTAAATCCTTTAGGGAAATTCTTGCCCATTACATTTGTTACTTTTTGTGTCACTATGATCTAATACCTAAAGTTACAGGAGGAAAGATTTCTTTTGACTAGGTCTCAGAGGGGTCAATCTAAAGTTGCTTGGCCCCATGTGCCTGGGCAAAGCATGATGGTGGCAGGAGTGTGTAGCAAGGGAATTTCAATTCATTGCAGACGAGAAGCACAGAGGGGATCACAGCGACATACAGCCCACAACAATAAGCCCCCAGTGACATGCTTCCCCTAACTAGCCTGTACCTCCTAGAGTTTCTAGAGCCTTTCAAAAGAGCACTACTAGGGGCTAGAGGAATGGCTCAGGGGTTTAGAGCACTGGCTGCTCTTGTAGAGGGCCTGTCGAGTTCAGTTCCCAGCACCTATTTGACAGCTAACAACTGTAACTCAGTTCCAGGGGATCCAATGCCCTCTTCTGGCCTCTGCAAACATTGTATATACTGTGCACTTACAAGCACATAAAATACTCATACACATAAAATAAAAATAAATATACTTTAAAAAGTACTACCTCCTAGGAACAATGCAGTTAACATATGAGCCTAGACAGGACACTCCATATTCAATCCATAATACTCATGTTAAAGAAAAAAAACAAAACTTCCCTGTATCCACTTTTGGCAAAAACAAAGGACTGAAAACAACCAAGTATGCATAAAAAATAGAATAAATTGACGGGCATGGTTGTGTATGCCTTTAGTCCCAGCAGAAGCAGGTGGATCTCTGTGAGATTGAGGCCAGCCTGGTCTACATAGCGAGTGCCAGGCCAGCTGGGGCTACAGGGAGACCCTGTCTCAAAAAGACCAAAAAAAAAAAAAGGCTAAACAAATGATGGCATATTTACACAATAGAAAATGATTCCGAAGTTAAAATGGGTGAACACAAATGACATACATCAACATGAATAAATCTCAAGAAAAAACATTCAAAAGGCAAGAGGGGAAATGATATGTACAGTATGATTTATATAAAGCTTAGAAATAAGCAAAACAAAATCATGTATCATTTGGAAATATATACACATATAAAATACCCAAACACATATGGGAATGTAGAAATCAAAATCAGAACAGTGTTTACTTTTGGGCATAGAGGGAGGATAAGGGAAGGGTGGGAATCCACAAGGGGCTTCAGCAAGAACTGCAATGATTTACTTCAAGTAAAAACAGATCTAAAGCAAACATGGGAACATGTCACAGGTTTTCTTTTCTTTTTTTTAAATATGTTTTTGAGGCCTGGCAAAGATTCAACTTTGTCTTCCATGCAGCAAATTACAAGAGCCTTGTCAGTCAAAATCAAAGCCATGTCCTAACATTTATATGTTGGTAGGAAAAAAAAAGATTCTATTTTAAAATATCTGGGGATATCCTACTTTTTCTACTTCCCAGAGATACATTATATGCATAAATAATTGTACAGTCTTAAGTGACAGGAAGGGTTTTGAATAACTAGACTTAATTCTCTAGTATATTCCATATCTTAAGGAGATATAACACTCATTCCCTGGTCAGTCACAATAAAATTCTGTCTTTGCCAGACAGCTGAAGAGATAAAAACCTTGCTCTTGGGTTTTACATGAAGCAGTGTCATCAGAAAACATGGGAAGTGGTGTGACCAACTTAGCAGCTGTCTGTGCAAGTTGAAGATAAAAGGTCTCATTTATTATGAGTTATCTGCTGTTTTCACCTTGAAAACAGCCAGTCATTCAGCTTAAGCACAAAGCACTGTGCAAGAGGTGGGCGCTGACAAACTTGTTTGTATCTCAGAGGTGATTTGGGGGCAGGGGGCCAGCAGCTATGCCCGAGAAAGATCACCCAGCAAAGGAAACCTTCAGAGGGCCCCTCCCTCCTTTTTTTAAAAAAATTATTTTATGTGTATGAGTGTATTGCCTGCATGTATGTAAGTGTATCCATGTCATGAAAAGCCTGTGGAGGTAAGAAGAGGATGTTGGATTCCCTGTAACTGGAGTTACGGATAGTTGTTAGCTGCCATGTGGGTGCTGAGAACTGAACCTGGGTCCTCTGCAAGAGCAGTCAGTGCTCTTAACCCCTGAGCCATCTCTCTAGCCCCTTTCCTTTATTTTTTTAAAGACAAGGTCTGACCCTGGTTGGAACTCCTTACATAGGCAAACTGGCCTCAAATTTTCCTTCCTGCCACAACCTCCTGAGTGCTGGGATTGCAGGCCCATGTCATCATGCCTGGCTATAAGGGTCTTCTTTCACTTACAAATTGTTTGTTGTTGATAAACAGAAATATATTTATCTGGTGGCATTGGGGACTGAACCCAGAGCCTTATATTCTAGGCAAGGCAAATGCTCATGTGCTCTACCAATGAGCTCCGGTTCCAGTCCCAGAAACACATTTTTTTTGGGGGGGGTGAGTCTTTTTCTCTGTAGATCCTTTCTTTTTTTTTTTGGTCTTTTTGAGACAGGGTCTCCCTAGAACTCACTATGTAGACCAGGCTGGCCTTGAGCTCACAGAGATCCGCCTGCCTCTGCCTCCCAAGTGCTGGGACTAAAGGTGTGCGCCCCCCCCCACCTTTTAATGGTAGATTCTTTGAGATATTATCACTCACAATCACATTTTTTGTGAAAAATCATACATTTGGTTTTTTCTTTGTAATCTGTATACTATTCTTTCTTTTGACTTTTTTTTTTTTTTTGGTCTTTTTTTGAGACAGGGTCTCCTTGTAGCCCCAGCTAGTCCAGAACTAACTATGTAGACCAGGCTGGCCTTGAACTCACAGATTCACCTGCCTCTGCCTCGAGTGTTAAGATTAAAGGCATGCACCACCACACCTGGCCTCAATCTCACAGAGACCTGCCTGCCTCTGCCTCTTAAGTGCTGGGATTACTGTAGTCACATCTGGCCTCAAACTCACATGTAGACCAGGCTGGCCTTGAACTCACAGAGATCCACCTACTTCTGCTTCCCAAGCCCTGGGATTAAAGGTGTGTACCACCAAGTCCAGTTTATCAATCCTTTTTAAAAATGAAAAACACCCTGCCATCTAGAGGTATGCAGAAGTATGCCTGAGAATAGCCACCCCATTGTCTCACTTTTCCAGCTGTGATGATGTACACGCTAGACCATGGAATAGTGATGTTTGCGCTTTCAAATGTGCTTTAAATGCTTTGTCTAGATGGTTTTGAATTAGATGAGTTTAAAAGTCAATATAGTCAAAATGTGGTATAGATTAATATATACAATGAAATATTATTGAGTCTTAAAAATGGGAAGAATTTCTGATGCATGCTATGTGCATGAGACATGAAGACATTAGGTACGTGAATGATGCCAGATACAAAAAGATAAATACTGTCTTATTGTACTTATTTGAGATAAGTAGAGTACTCAAAGTCATAGAGACAGAAAGTAATGTGACTGGCAAGAGCTGCGGTGACGAATGCAGGTGGATGAGTGCAGAAGTGGGAGCTACAGGTGAATGGCTGCAGAGGTGGGAGCAGCGGTGGATGGGTGCAGAGGTTCACTTTGGAGGGATGGTTATGACAGCATCTCAGTAATGTGTATACTCAATGCCACTGAGCTACATGTTGAAAGATGGCTGAATAGCACATTTTATGCTATATATGTTTTATCGCAATTTAAAAAATGTGAACACGGTACATATCCAGAAATACTCTTTTTTTTCTTTTTTGTGGTGCTAAGGATAACCCAAGGCCTGTGTATACTAAACATGCACTGTACCATTGAGCTATCTTCCTAACCCTTGATATGGGCTTAAAGATACCATAAAGCAAGCTGGGTACAGTAGCAGCACAAGCTTATCAGCACTCAGCAGGCTGAGACAGTAGGTTTGTGAGTTTGAAGTCATCCCTGGGTTACACAGTAAGACCTTGTCTCAAAAGCAAAGCAGAGCAAGCCAACAAAGAAAATACACAAAGGAAAAAAAGCAACTTCACAGACATGAAGTATATTGCTCAAAGAACTTTGGAGCAATAAGAAAAGTCTAGAAGGTCTTTTGAGAGCCTGGTTCAATGCTCTAATTGAAAAAGGACACTGAGCCCAGAGCAAGGAGGCAATTGCTTGAAAGTGAGGACTGGATTGTGAGTCTCTTTCCTTACAGCACACTGTGTTGTTTTCTCTAGGGTAAGCTTAGGCAAATGGATCTAATTTCTGCTATGTGCTCAGTCATAGATGACCTCACTCATAAGACTAATTAATGACCCTGCAAATCCCACAAGGTCCTCTGAAAATCACAAACTAGCAAGAAGCATTACAAATACAGGAACGGTTCAATTCCATGTGCCCTTGCAACTGCTCAAGAGGACTCTGGGGCCCAAAGATAAATAACTCATTAAATGTGCTAATCAAGACAAGAATAAAGAGCAGAAAAGGGTCTCCTTTCTGATTTTTGGCACCAGTTTTGAAGCCTAACTTCAACTCGGGATCTAGCACTTTTGTGGCAGGAGGCACAGCTGAGATGAGGTTGTCTTCGCTTTGAATTCTACAGCTTTTGAGGAAGAATGTGTTTCTGCCCATAAGCATCTCTTGCTAACTTTAAAAAATTTTTTATTTAAAGACAGGGTCTCCTGGTAGCCCCTTCCCAACTGGCCTGGAACTTGCTATGTAGACCAGGCTCACAGAGATTTGCCTGTCTCTGCCTCCTGAGTGTTGGGATTAAAGGTATGTGTCACCATACCTGGCTTCTGTTAACTTTTTGTTTTCTTCCAGATTTGATTATTTGTGTGTGGTGTGGTGTGGTGTGTGTGTGTGTGTGTGTGTGTGTGTGTGTGTGCATGTATATGCATGCACGCACATGCAAGTACACATGGAAGTCAGAAGGGATCATTAGATCCTTGGGAATTGGAGTTATAGGTGGCTATGAGCCCTTGACATGGGTGCTGAGAACTGAACTTGGGTTTTTTACAAGAGCAGTAAGTGTTCTTTACAGCGGAGCCATCTCTTCAGCCACTCTGTTAACATCTCAGTTCCTCCAATCCTGCTGTCTGAGTGAACAGGCCTCCAGCTATGGCATAGCTTGGGTTTCAGAGAGCAGATGCCAGGACAAGCCTTGTTCAGCTAAACCTGAACTTCACATGGGAGTCCTTTGAGGGCCACAATGCCCTCCAGTCCCTCACAAACTCCCCCAGGCTGGCCTGCAGAGATCCACCTCTTGTTACCTACTCATCTTTGCATGGGTCTACAAAATGAAACTTCAGTTCTAATAGATGGGTTTCTCACTATACCTTAAAGCACAAGTAAACACTGGCCAAACTGATACTGTTCCTCAGATAGGAGCTTTGGGTCCAAGATGATTAGCTAATATACTGTTTTGCTATTTGAGGTAGGGTCTTCCTAGGAAGCCCAAGCTGGCCTTGAATTCACAGTCTTCCTGCCTCTGCTTCCTGAATGTTGGGGTTACAGATGTTTACCATAACTGTCAGTTAATTTTCTTTTATTTTTTTGAGACAGAGTCTTACCATGCAGGCCTCGAACTCACAGAGATCCACCTGCCTCTGACTCCCGAGTGCTGGGAGTAAAGGCTTGCACCATTACACCTACCTAATTTTCTTTCATTACTAGGAAAATCTGTGGAAAATAGACATGACATAGGACTTAGGTGGCAGCACCAAAGCTACTATGGCCATTAGACATAAAACCAGTCTGCAAAGCTTAGGCAAGGCTACAAAAACTCCCAGAAAACATGTTCCCAGTGAGTCAGCTTTGTATTGCAGGGACTCCGTTAAGTCTGCAGACAGAAATGTAACTGAGAACTCTACAGCTGCTCCCAGAGACACAGATCTTAATCAATCCACATCCTCTCAAATCACACACCATGATGGGATGAACAGAGTGGGTGCCTGGTAACATGTACTAATGAAACCAGAGCTAGTGTGTTCGGCATCATTCTGCAGCTCCAGGTGGAGAGAATGCATTGTATGCTCAGGACATGCAAGGGTCAGGATTTCAGAACACCAAGTGCTGCAATCAGGCCCAGCTGGTGTCTGACTTGTACAACCGCCCAGGGAGTTTTCCAAGACAACATTTTGACTCTGGCTAGTGCTGGTCAGCTAGACAGCTGAGGGCAAGCATTGACTTCTTCGCATAGGCTGTGTGTGGAAGAGGTATTGGAGATGAGCAATGAAAACAGAATCAAGGTCATGTCCCGCTCTTAGGAAGCTTAAAGTGAATAGGAGCTGGTACTTAATGAGGGCTGACCATGTGCCAGACCTGAGCCAAATACTATAGGCACTGGCTTTTAGTTTATTACTTAAAAAAAATATTTTATTTATTATTATTTTTATTTTATGTGTATGAGTGTATTGCCTGCATGTATGTGAGTGCACCTGTGTCATGCAATGCCGTGGATGTCAGAAGAGGGCTTCGGATTCCCCTGGAGATGGAGTTAAGGACAGTTCGTAGCCGCCATGTGGGCGCTGGGAATTGAACCCGGGTCCTCTGCAAGAGCAGTCGGTGCTCTTAGCCACTGAGCCATCTCTCCAGCCCCTAGTTTATTACTTTTATTATTTTATTTTATTTTTTTAAGACAAGATCTTTTTTTATAGCCTAGAATGGTTCATCAAATTCACAATCCTCCTGAGCCCTGGGATTACAAGTGTGGGCCACCATGTATGGCTCCCTATTTTGTTTAATCCTCCTAGCTATTCCATGAGGTGGTACCAAGCACTCTGATTTTAGAGACAAGGGAGAGTAAGTGCTGCAAAATTAAGTAACTTGTCTACAAACAGACGCAATGCTGCAGACACAGGATACAGCCTCTAACCATTGTGATTCCAGAGCTCATGTCCTGCCTGACCAATTGACAATAGAGAGGATAAAACCATCTGCACTTATCTGCCTTTGACACTTCATGAGTGACAATAGGCAGCATGGCACACACTGACTTGCCATCTTTCTGAGGCACGACAGAGACCAGCACAGACAAGGAGCCACAAGGACAGGTCACTAAGCTGTGAAAGAGAGGATCCTCTACTGCACTGCCTTGTTTGGCACAGAGAAGGATTTATGGAAATGTCTTGAATTACATAAGCTTATATGCTGTCCAAGTGTTTACAAAGAGGTCTAGTGAGGCTCATTTTAATGAACATGAGCATTGCTCTTGATTAGTCCATGAATAGTTTGCCTTTAAGTAATGCTTTGAAAGAATCAGGGGCTGAAAATTGTTTTTCTTTTTTCTTTTATGTGTGGACATGCATGCTTATGTGCACTTGCAAGTGTGTGTGTATATGTGTGTGTAGGTCAGAGGTTGATACGGATATCTTCCTCAATAGCTCACTCATCTATCTATCTATCTATCTATCTATCTATCTATCTATCTATCTATCTATCTATCTATCTAATCTATCTATCATCTATCATCATCATCATCATCATCTATCCAGGGTCTCCCTGCAGCCCTAGCTAGCCTGGAATTTTCTATGTATACAGTTGGCCTCAATCTCACAGAGATCAGTCTGCTTGGCTGGGATTAAAGGTGTGCACCACCATGCCTGGCTCTCTACCTTACCTTTTGAGACAGGCTCTCTCAATGAATCTGGAGCTTGATGATTCAGCTAGATGGCTGGCCAGCAAGGCTCAGAGATCCCCCTTTTCTGCCTCCCCAGTGCTGGGATTATTCTGTGAGTTCATGAGTTCAATGCCAACACTCTTGGAGTTTTTCTTTAATTTTTTTTATCCACCTTTATTTATGTGTATATGTATGTGCATCTGCTTGTATATGCACATTGGCATGCAGCACCCACAGAGGCCAGAAGAGGGCATCACATCCCCTGGAACTAGAGTTATAGGTGGTTGTGAGCTACTTGATGTGGGTGCTGGGAACTGAACCTGGGTCCTCTGTAGGAGCAGCCAGTCCTCTTAGCCACTGAGACATCTCTCTAGCCCCTTTACTCTTATTTTTTTATGTGGGTGCTGAGCATCAAATTCAGGTCCTTATCCTCACATGGCAAGCACTTTATCAACTGAGTCATCTCCCCAGGCCTAGATTTTCTTTTAAAATCACTTAAACGTACTCCTCAAACTTAAAACTGTCCAAATTCCAGATGGTCCAAATAGGTGGAACTGAAAAGAGCCAACTTTGCTCTAGTATATAAATCAGTTTATCAGGTTTCAGGTGACATGAACTAGTCTTTATTTATTTATTTAGTCAGTCTTTTTGAGACAGGGCCTCCCTGTATTCCCAGATGGCCTAGAACTCACTATGTAAACCAGGCTGGCCTCAAATTCACAGAGATTTGCCTGCCTCTGCCTCCAGAGTGTTGAGATTAAAGGCATGTGGGACCACGCTCAGCTTATTTATTCTTACTTATTTTTTTGAGACAAGGTCTCACTATGTAGCCCAAGTTGGCCTTGAACTCAAGATCCTCCTGTCTTAGCATCTTAAGAGCTGGAATTACAGTATGTACCACCATGTTCCAGGAGAGGTACTGTCTTAAAAGCACAGAACTCAGGTGAGGAGAGAGGAGCCAATCAAAGGAGCTTCCTGGGCGAGGTGATAGTTGTATCCTCTCTCTGAGTAAACTCTCAGATGGTCTCTGCTCAACTGCACTCAAAGCTTCAGATTTACTTAGAACATCGCCTCTTGTCCTCTCCAGTGCCAGCCCTGGAAGAAAACCTTAACTGCCTAATCTAAAGCCTTTACTCTCTCATCTAAATACTGTTTCCTCTAAGCTTGTTTT